CAACAAAGGTGGAATCGATATGCCAACATGGAAAAACGATACAAGCTTATAACACAATCTTTTATGACATCATTCGGTAAAGCAAGCCCATCACTATTAAATCATCATCGAGTGAAGTAAATCAAGAGTCCTTAACAAAGTTTACAAGCAATCACTAATCGTAAAGCAAACAACAATCACCCTTTAACTTGCTTTCATAAGACTCAAACACTAAACTCATATCATAGAGTCATATACTTGTTCAATAGAATGTAATACCTCAGATATGAGATAAAGGTTCATGAACAAGCATGAACTAAATGACTACTCAAATCCAACTTAATTGCATTAAGCTCACCAACACATCTAGCCAATAGATTTAAGCATGCTTTGAAGAGGTTAACTATGCATGATCAATGCTTAGTTGAAACTAAAGTGAAAACCATGAGATGGATTCATAATGGTACACAACCTCCATTTAGACAAAGTTATAGTATGGGTACTAACATCTCAACCTTAAACAATTAAGTTAAGTTGAACATCACCATACTCAGCCAAGGTGTAGAGCCACCAAAACTAAATTAGAATCAGTGAGAGTTCATTACTTTTATAGAGTTTAATGAAATGTAAAGTGCAATCTACCACTTAGCATAACACTATAAAAGAAAGGCATAAGGGTCGCTTTTTTAGAAAAGTGCAATGACCACTTTTCTACACCAATTCCAGACTTTATCCAACTCAATTACTTTAGCCCCAAAAATTAACATCTCTTTCAGGTCGCATCATACAAGTTAACTCCAACCTTTTCACTAGTTTGTACTGAGTTACGAAAGCATAATGGTTTTTGAGTAAAATGATCTATTGATAAAACCTATGAAAATTTGTGGAAAAATTTTCCATCCTAAAGAAAGAATGACTTTCAGTCTAGGAGTACAAATTCTCACGACTCAATCAACTTCCTCCTATGAACAATTTCACATAGGTTCATCTCAATACAAATTCTCATGACTCAATAGTATGTCTAAGAATTGAACATCTTACCCATTTTTCCAACATGTAACATTGATATCTGCAAAATGTAAAATGAACATCCAAAGCTTGATCATGAAGACTACATCTTCGGATATCTACATTGCACTAACACTCTTCTTCAATCACCTTTAAAATCTAATGTGAAGCCAAAACACTAACAAAAAAATGATATGAAAAATTAAGGTCTAAAAAAAATTCCTCATCACTTGAAATAACAATGCCATTTCCATTAACACAAGTGCTAGCGATGTTAATGCCTCAATTACACACTTTCTCCATCCAACAATTTACTCTAAATGCTAACAGATAAACCAACAAGCCATAGCAAATGAATGCTATAACCCTTTTTAACACCTTAATGGGCAACCCTCAAGGAAACAAGATACCAACTTAAACTTAGCATAATAGATCACTATTAAAAATCTAATCAAAGCTAATACAATGCCACTATATGCAAGTAGACTAGCTTCACTATCAACCACTTTATTTGACCAAACAACTTCGTAAACACATTGCTTATTATCACATGGATATGATATAAGTATCACAATGACTTGATCATCAGTTGAGTAACACAATGAGCAATGTCTATATCATCACTTCAAAGGTTTATATAAGTATCAAGTGTTAACTCGATTCGACAAAATGTAATATAAATGCCATACCCCACCGATAGAAATTTATAACATTGAATACTACCAACTTTTGTTTACAACATAGACAAGCTTATGCCACTCTTTTTTTGACCAAACTCAAAACTAATTCAACACCAAGTTACTTAAGGAGCAATAGCAAGGTTCCCCGGAAAAAAAATTGAGCATTGTAACCCAAGCCTTCCAATAGTAAGCCTAGACAAAATGGTTTAGCACTTCACCGTTATGTAAGCTTCTGAATTTGGACTCCCAAGGACACTTAACCTTAAATATCCCAAGACCCTTAACCGATTGGAAAAGGGAATGCACTTTTGTTCATGGGCCTTTTCCCTTTATATTTGAACCCTATGGATCATCTCTCAAATCGTTCTCTTTGGTTGCTTATACGTTATCCATCCCATGACTCACCACTTGTAAAACCATTATAATCAACATGCATCAAGATAGGGACTCTTGATTGCATAATGTAAATATGGGCAATGAGTTATACTTCATTGTGAATTATCTCTCCAAGAAGAGAAGATAATTTACGTGTTTGATCTTTCATCCCTGACGACTTTCTTTTCGATCTCATCTTTGACTAAATGTTAAGCTTGTGTTTGCACCACTTCCAATCTAATCCAAGAAAAGTTTATGAGAGAGCAATAGATTACTTAAACCAATAGACTAATCTCTATAATCTTGATTGATCCACTCATAATCATGCATAAGAAGGATCCACTAGTGTCATGCTAAACAGTTATGGACAAACATATTTTTCACTCATAGCAAACTTAGGGGAGGTTTACTTTCACCCATGGTACTTGGAAACACTCATGAAACCATTGATAGGCTAACATAAATTATGCTAACTCAAAGTGTAACCTCGAGTTGTTAATGTATCTCACTCACGAGCCCAAACGCAAACTCGTGCAAAATGGTACATCTCAAATCCATCTTGCTAACTCAAAATGTAATCTTGAATTACTAATGTGCCTCACTCATGAGCCCAAGCACAAACTTGTGCAAACGGAACATCTCTCATTTATCTTATGAGCCCAAGAGCAAGTTCATAAAATACGGTACAAAAAGGTAACTAAAATCCATACATAAGGAATGAATATGAAGCTTTAGCACCAAAACATATACCCACTTAGATCATCATTTTTATCTTTGCATATGTAACGAGACTAATTGCCCAATCTCATTGGATAGTACTTACTGGGACTCATCTTCTAATACCAAATGTAGTGCATGTGGTTTTTACTCTTTACAGTGGTGTGGAACCCGAGTTTCAGAGCCTTATGCCACTAAATGAAAGAACAAAGCCAAACTTTTAAACATGGAGCCAAGGAGTAAAGGCACTAAAGCATATAATGACTTCTGAGCGTACAACCTAAAAAGTGAAGGGACAAGAGTGCAAAATGACTTGGAACAGTCCTAAAGCATCCAGCATTTCAATGCTATAATTAGCATATAAAACAAAGCCAAACAGAATCTGATATTATTTCAGCATAATTGGTAGTTTAATGCGAAGATATGGGTACTCACCAATTAACATAGTCTGGGACTTGGGCTTAGACCCAAGCCAGATGCATAACAAGAATAAGCATACAAGTAGGAGCTAGATTATGCCTCAAGTTAGTTGTGACCTACCCAATATTGCTCCTACTATCTAATAAAATCTATATTAGACCATCATAGAACACGCTTTTCAACATTAAATTTGATGCATAAGTGTCTTCAATCTCTACTTTATCTCACACACAGTTAAGTTGATGAGCAACAATTAAAATCCTCTTCTTTCGACTGGAACAATATTTTGTGTCATCCTCATGCTATAAATTTTGCAACTTTTTAGTATCTAACATACCATCATTAGAAGATTGACAATTCTTTTTGTTCTATTACTTGTTCTTTAGTTGTGGACAATCAATTTGTAATATTCAAACTTGCCATAATAATGACAACCTTGTTTATAATTATTTACAAAAAAAAATTGTTTTTTCAACCCTTTTGCATCTGAAGTAGCTATTGTAGACTTCAATTTGTGATATTATTCCTATCCTTGTGTCCATAATAATCATTATAATGATTCTCAACTAAAGAACTCAAATGTTTGCAAAACTTATGCTTCTCATTATCAAGTCAACAAGCTATATCAAAGACCTCTTCCAAACTCTTTGTAAATTGGGAATGCAAGTGTTGTTTCATACTTTCACTGTGAAAGCCATCAATGAAGTAGGATTTATTTTGATCTAAATCCTTTATTAAAATAAAGTTATTTAAGTGAATAAACTTCTCAATATAGTCTTTGAGTATCATTTTCCCTTGCTGAAAATGTTGAAATTCCTCACATCATAGTGAGGGGTAAAATGTAGATAAAACTTAAACTCATCTATAACAGACACTAGTGGTTTTTTATCTACAATATAAGGCTCCTTGGTTGAGTCAAATAATCCACAAAATTGCTAGGGTTTTGGGTAAGCAAAGTTTGCATCTTTTGCCTACAATGCAATGATGTAGGTATTGCATCCATCAATGTGACTACCTACAAATCCTATACAACTACTTAGAGCCAAATGACAGCTTATGAATATTGCCTCTTTGTAAATTTATTTAGAATGGTTGGCTTATTTCATTTTTGTCTATGAGAATTTTTCTTTGAGTGGTTGAGGAGCTTATCAATCTTATCATGGCACAAGTTTTGGGTGGATATGGGCACTACTATATATCAATTTTTCTCCTTGGCAATGGAAGTTTTTTTTTTTTTTTTAATTGTTACAAAGAAAGAGAGAGAGAGAGTAAGGAAAATCTAAATAATGTTGGCATTAGCTATCATTTTTGCAAGCTCATTGAGATAAGTTTGTGGCTAATATGGATAAAACTTTTCTTATGTTGATTCAATGGTGTAGACATGTATGAATATGAGCAATTCTTCTTTTACTTTTTGTTGGTCAGGTATTAGTTTTTTAAAACTTAGCGTTCTAATTATATTTATATTTCCAAGTAATACTTTTGCATTTATTAATAAATATTTATTAATAACAATTCTACTTTTTCTTGAAAATTTATTAGGGTTCCCAATCTAAATCCTGGGTTTTTAATTATATTCCAAGTTGAAAGCGACCAACAGCCTAGCAAATATTGGGTATATACACAATCAATAATTTTATACAATATTTTTGCCCTTGTGAACTTGTGAATATACCACATGTAACAATAAAATTTGTAATTACTTTAATGGCAAAACTAAATAAAGTTAAATTTAAAAATCTGATATACTGTATATGGGCTTTGTCCGCGCGAGTTCGAATCTCTCAGGCGACGCTAGGTTTTTATTTACTCGAATGGCGCATATTCTTCTAGATCCGTTTTGATCTTCACGAGTATTTCTTCGCCCTACTCATCTATCTCTCCATGGCGCACAGGCATCGCATCGCAAGGCTGCTGCGATGGAAATGGCGGCACGCTGGACCTGCGATGGCTCTTGTAAGTCGCTGCCAGGAATCCTCCAGCTCGTGGATTGAATTGCGGGAGTTTTGGCTCGGGAGGATTGGCCAGGGATCGCGATTTCCATCTCTTTCTCCATCGAGGGGCTATTCCATGGCTTCTGCGTCCACACAACCGCAAGAGAGTGAGAATGTGATGGCCGTGGACATGGGGCTAAACATTCTCAAGAACGGCGTGGATGTCAAGAGCGATGCTTTCCACGCAAATCGCAAGGCTATGGAAAGACTCGTCTCCGAGCTTCGTGAGAATGTCCGCAAGGTACTGCTGATCTTTCTCTCGACGTTCTCTACATTTTTTTCTATCTCTTTGTTTTTTCTTTGTTGAAAGGTTTGCAATGACAGGGACCCGAAGACTCTCAGCCGCCATAGCGCAAGAAACAAGCTCCTGCCGCGAGAACGAATCGACCAACTTTTGGATGCTGGATCGCCTTTCATCGAATTGTCCCAGGTGATAACAGTGTCACAGTTTTACTTCCTTTTCCTCTGATAAAATGTGACAAACTCTTGTGAGCAGCTAGCGGGATTCGACATGTATGACGAGCAAGTTCCTTCTGGAGGGATTGTCACAGGGATTGGATCGATCCACGGCCGGCTGTGTATGCTCGTCGCCAATGATCCAACAGTAAAAGGTGGAACTTACTATCCTATCACGGTAAAGAAGCACCTTCGAGCTCAAGAGATCGCAGCTCAATGCAGCCTCCCTTGTATATATCTTGTGGACAGTGGAGGCGCAAATCTCCCCCGGCAAGCCGACGTTTTCCCGGATAGAGATCACTTTGGCAGGATTTTCTACAACCAAGCACGGATGTCCGAGGCTGGAATACCTCAGATAGCGCTTGTTCTGGGCTCGTGTACAGCAGGTGGTGCTTACGTTCCAGCCATGGCCGATGAGAGTGTCATTGTGAAAGAAAATGGGACGATTTTTCTTGCTGGACCTCCCCTTGTCAAGGTACGGCTTCGTTCCTTTGTGGCTTCGTGGCTTTGTTCTCGTGCTGCTTTTGTTTTTGTTTTTCTGGCTTTTCCGTTTTCGTTTCTTTAACTTTCTTTCTGTGTGCTTTCTCAGGCTGCGACCGGAGAGGAAGTCTCTGCTGAAAATCTCGGAGGAGCCGATTTGCACTGTAAAGTATCAGGAGTAGCCGACCACTTTGCGAAAGGTAAGGATCTTTCAGTTCGAATGTTTGCTCACAGTTTTTATGTTCACAGATGAGCTACATGCTCTTGGAATTGGTCGAAAGATTGTCCGGAATTTACATCTTGCTGCGTCAACTCCCAACGTAAAGCTGGACGAAGACGCTGTCGTAAGGGAACCAT